AATTAACAAAATTAGAGATAGAAAGAGAGACATTACAGCAGCTATCAAAAAATTTCAGAGACCCATAAAGGCATACTTTAAAAACCTGTATTATACCAAACTGGAAAATAAAAAAGAAATGGATAAATTTCTTGATATGTGACCTAAAAAGCTAAACCAAGAGAAAACAAACAATTAAAATAGGCCCATAATCCCGAGTGAAATAGAAGAAGTTATTAAAATCTCCCTCCTCACAAAAGGCCCAGGGCCGGATGGATTCCTCCCAGAATTCTCCAGACTTTCAAATAACTGATACTAACATGCCTCAGATTATTCCACAAAATAGAAACTGAAAAATTATCCTGGTACCCAAGCCACACAAAGACTTGGCAAAAGATTATCCAATATCTCTTATGAATATAGATGCAAAAAAATTCTCAATAAAATCCTTGCAAACTAAATTCAAGAACACATAAAAAAATCAACCATGATAAAGTTGGCTTCATGCCAGAGATGCAGGGATGGTTCATTTATTGATGTAAATCAATAAATATAATTGACTGCGCAAACAGACTAAAAGACAAAACCCCCATGATCATCTCATTAGATGCAGAAAAAACCTTTGACAAAATCCAACACCCTTTCATGATAAAAGTTCCTGGAAATCCTAGGAATATAAGGGTCATACTTCAACATAATAAAGACAATTTACACCATGCCCACAGCCAGTATCATCTTAAATAGAGAGAAATTCAAAACATTTCTGTTAATTAGGAACTATACAAGGGAGTCCACTCTCTCTATACCTATGCAATACAATACTTACAATACAATACAAGTCCTAGCTTGAGCAATAAGACAACTGAAGCAGATCACGGGAATACAAATAGGAAAAGAAGTCAAAGTATTCTTACTTGCAGATGACATGATTTTATACATAAATAACCCTAAAAACTCCACCGGGGAAACTTTAACAACTGATAAATACTTTCAGCAAACTAGCAGGATATAAAACTAACACACAAAAATCAGTAGTCTTCCTTTATACAAATGGCAAACAGATGGAGAAAGATTGGGGGAAAATACCTTTCACAATAGCCTAAAATAAAAAGAAAACAAAATTTAACTCTAACCAAGCAAGAGAAAGTCTTGTAGACTAAAATCCGAGAAATTTAAGATGATAAGATATGAAGATCTCCCATGATCATAGATTAGTAGGATTAGTGTTGCAAAAATGGCCATCCTACCAAAAGCAATCTACAAAGTTAGTGCAATCCCTTCCAAAATCAAAAATTTTCACAGAAATTGAAAAAATTAAACTCTGTATAGAAATGCAAAACATCCAAGATAGGGCTGGAGAGATGGCTCAGCAGTTAAGAGCATCGACAGATTTTCCAGAGGATCTGGGTTCAGTTCCCAGCACCCATATTATGGCAGGTCACAGCTGTCTGTGACTCCAGTTCTAAGAGACCCAACACCCATGGCAAAACACCAACGGGCATAAAAAATAAATAAATAAATAATTTAAAGAAGGAAAAAAACACCCAAGATAGCTTTTTAAAATTCTGAACAATAGAGGAATTGCTGGAGGTACCACAATCCCAGATTTTAAGTGGTCTTGCAGAGCTATGGCAATAAAAGCATCATAGCATTGTCTTAAACACAGACACATTGCTCAATGGAATAGAATCAAAGACCTGGAGATGATTCTACATACCCACAGAGAGCCGAGTTTTGACAAAGAAGCCAAAAATATACACTGGAGAAAAGGCAACATCTTCAATAAATGGTGCTGGTCAAACTTTATGACTACATGTAGAAGAATACAAAAAGATCCATATTCATTTCCCTGCATAAATATTACCCTTCAATTCCAAATGGATTAAGGACCTTAACATAAGACCAGGTACTCAGAATCTGATAGAAGAGAAAGCGGAGAATAGCGTTAAACTCACTGGCACAGGAAAGATTTTCTGAAACTGACAGCACAGACACTGAGATCAACAATTAATGAATGAGAACTGTGAACGGTGAACTGTGAACTCTGTGAACTATAAAAGTGACAGGTGTGGCAAGATACGAAGTAGTGGTACAATAGTGGCATGGATGTCCTGGGAGTTATCAATAGATTTCTGATTGGAAGAGACTCATGCCTGGTGCTGTAAATCTAACCAAGAGTAAATAGTGGGGAGCTCACAGGCCCCAGGGATGAACATACCACTGCTATTCTACTAAATGGTCATAGTGTCAAAAATGAAATGAGTGAAATTTATGCTCTGGCAATGCTGAAGTATTCATGGGCAGCCTGTATATGGTGGTACTTTTGAATTTGTCCATGTTGGGTTTCATGGTCTAAGTTGATGAGGACAACTGATCAGGTCTTGTCCTCAAGAGGATACCAGATCTCATTATAGATGGTTGCGAGCCACCACGTGGTTGCTGGGAATTGAACTCAGCACTTTAGGAAGAGTATACACTGCTCTTAACTGCTGAGCCATCTCTGCAGCCTGCCCTCTAAATTCATGTCTCTAAATCCATAGATTAGTACAGCTCTCAGACCTAAGGAGAGAAGTTTCACTGTATGGTGGATAGTGATTAACACAGAAACTCATAGCTGGTCAAAATGCAGACAACATATGCCAGGGAGTACTCACCCAGAGGTGGTATATCTCTATCACCCTGCACTGAGTCTTAGGGGCCTTTACAGAAGAGGAGGTGGAAGAATTATAACAGGCAGAGGTTGGGGAGGACCAGATTGAAACAGATCCAGAAAGGACAAGATCTCAACACTTTACACACAGCAGCTGCGGTTACCTGCAAAAACCTTCACAAATTCAGTTCTGTGAACATTCCAGCTCATAGTGAGAGGGACTCAGGAGTCCCTTCTGCTGAGGAGCTATGGACAGTTGATGGCTTCTATGGGAGAAAGAGTCAGTTTTCTTTAAAGGTGTGACTCGTTTTATGTTGAATTCGTTCTACTGGATGGCCCCACACTTGTGAGTACATTGGCAGCACAATCTGGGCTTAAGCAGAGAGAGAGAGAGAGAGAGAGAGAGAGAGAGAGAGAGAGAGAGAGAGAGAGAAATATCAAGAAGCATGAAGTTGAGAGGAGTTAGGGAGGGGAGGATCTAGGAAGAGTTAAGGGAGGGGTGGACTATGATCAAAATACATTGTAAGAAATTCTCAAAGATTTAATAAGAGTATTAGTATTATATTAAAAATGACTGATTTGAAGATTGTCTATTTATTTTTTATTCTGATAACTTTTGCTTGATATTCTGAATCTCTGTCATTAGGGTCAGACACAATATGTTGTCTTCTTGAAGAATTCACTCTTTCATCCCTGCAAGGGGCCTCAGAGTTGGCACGGAAGATACCCAGATACCAAATTCTCAACACAGTGGAGACTTTCATTCCCTGTACAATGTCCCGGTTTTTAAAATTAATTAACTATTTCATTTTATGAGCATTGGTGTTTTGCCTGCATGGATGTCTGTGTCAGTGTATAGGATTCCCTGGAATTAGAGTTACAGATTGTTGTGAGCTGGCATGTGGATGCTGAGAATTGAACTTGGGTCCTCTGGAAGAGTAGTTAGTGCTCTTAACTGCTAAGTCATCTCTCCAGCCCCATAGTGTCCTATTTTAAAGATTAAAAACCATTCATTTATTTATTTTATACATATTGTGTGCACTACAGCACGTGTGTGGAGGTCAGAGGACAACCTGCTGGAGTCAGTGCTCCCCTCCATCTGTGGGTCCTGAGTGAACCCCAGGAGTAGTGCTCCCCTCCTTCTGTGGGTCCTGAGTGAACCCCAGGGATTTCACTGCCCCACCAGCCATCTCACTGCCCCAGAATGCCCTTCTTTAGCTCTGGTAATTTTTATTGCTATGAAGTTGTTTCTTCACTAATTGTGTGTGTGTGTGTGTGTGTGTGTGTGTGTGTGTGTGCGCGCACGCGCATGTGTGTGTGCACGGATGCTCGTGTGCATGTGTCTTAGTTAGGGTTCCTATTGCTGTGAAAAGACAACTTGACCTCATCAACTCTTATAAGAAAAACATTTAATTGAGAGGGCTCGCTTGTAGTTTCAGAGGTTTAGTCCATTATCGGCAGGGACCATGGCAACATGCAGGTAGATGTGGTACTGGAAGAACAGCAGAGTCTTACATCTTTCAGGCAACAGGAAGTTGACTGAGACACTGGGTGGTATCCTAAAGCATAGAAATCTTCAAAGACTGCCCTCTAAGTGACATACTTCCTCCAACAAGGTCACACCTAGTCCAACAAAGCCACACCTCCTAATAGTGCCGCTCCGTATGAGATTATGGAGGCTTAATAGGATTTACCATTGTGTCTTAGGTTTTCTATTGCTGTGAAGAGACACTATGACCATGGCAACTCTTTTTTTCCCTGAATTCAATGCCTTTATTTTTATTTGATGATGTACAGACAAGATTAACACACCTAGCAACTCCAGGAACTTTTGCTCATACAACTGAGAAGCAAGGCTTAGCCCTCTCTCTGGGGCCTTGCCTCAGCACAGTGGCCCTGTTCTTTAGAGCTACAGGACACCAACACCTGTGCAGCCACCTGCCCCAGCTGAGATGGAAGCCTTGTGTTGTCCCAGTTGGGGACAGAACTTTAAAAACACATCTCAGAAGATGCCATCGTGCCTGGTTCTGGGCGAGTCCTTGTCAAACCACATACAGACAACACTAGCCCTCACCCTCACATGGGGCAGAGTGTCTTTACTTTCCAGAGTTGCAAATCTTAAATTAACAACACAGGACTCCATCAGAACACCAAACACCCCCTAGGTGGAGACTAAATTCGAACAAACACAAACCTGGATACGATTATTAGAATCCTAAGGATGGGCAGTGGGAAGTCACCCTACACCTCTACCCTAGCACAGCTCAGGACTCCCTGCGAGGGGGTAGGAAGGAAGGAGGAGAAACAGCATGCTTTGCACAACTTGACAATACTGTGGAGGTCCCCAGGACCGCTGGCCTCCACGGCGCCTCTATTTCCCAGAGGGCTGCTCATACAGCTTGGGCACGTAGTCATCCCACTCTGCCTGGTAACATGTGCCCGCCACCGGGGCTCCCAGGTGATACTTCTTGCGGAAGGCTGCCACCTTGAACTTGCCGCGATGATCTCCTGACCTGTTGCTGAGGATGAGTTCGTCACAGTTCAGTGGCTTGTCCTGTTCGTACACCAGCCAGACGTAGTGGTGGAGGCCTGTGGCACTGGGAGGCCCAGAGCCCACGTAATCGGAGAGGACCTTGCCACTGCTGATGTCATTGCCCTTCATGTTGACCACCAGAAAATGGTGCCACTCCCTGAATTTGGGGTCTTTCCTGCTGGGAGCATCCGGGTTGGTGAGGACCAGGGTGTAGAGTTTTCCTGGGTCAAGGCCATCCCATGAAATGCTGCTGGGCCTATTCTGAACCTGGGTGGGCGTCAACACTTTGCCCAGCTCGTCCACCTCCACCTCAGCGTAGGCGACCCGCAGCGCGTGCTGAGGGCGTTCGTCCACTTCCTGCAGGCTCAGTGGCCCGGACCACTGGCTGATGTCGGCGGGCATGGCGACAATGAGGACGAGGACTCCATGGCAACTCTTATAAAGGAGAACATTTCACTGGGGCTGGCTTGCAGTTCAGAGGTTTAGTCCATTATCGTCATGGCAGGAAGCATGGTGGACCACAGGCTGAAACGGTGCTGGAGAGGGACTGAGAGTTCTACATCTGGATCCTCAGGTAGCACGAAGAGAGAGTGAGGCACTGGGCCTGTCTTGAGCATCCGAGACCTCAAAGTCCACTCCCAATGATACACCTCCTCCAATCAGGCCATACCTCTGCCACGCTCCCTGCCGTGATGATAATGGACTGAACCTCTGATACTAGAAGCGAGCCCTCTCAATTAAATGTTTTTCTTATAAGAGTTGCTGTGGTCCTAATAGTGCGACTCCCTAGGAGCCTATGAGGGCCATTTTCTTTCAAACCACCACACATCAGGCTGTGGAAAGTAAGCAACAGCTTTGGCAATATAGACTGTGATGTTTTGGTTTTTCCATGGGGCTTTGTCGGGTAATGACTCAACTAGATGTAACCCATTCTTGGCAATGGAGGTTTTACTTGATGTTGTAAGCTATATAGTTGAATCATTGTCTCCTCTATTTGGTGACTCCATTTAGATTTCCTTCATATATGCATATATTTTAGAAAGCATCTGCAGTAGTCGGCTTCCATATTGTTTCTGTATGGCTTTTATTGTTGCCCCTCTCTGTATTTCCTTCTTAAACCTTCTCTTCCGGCCCCCTCCCTAGTAAATCCTCCTATTCTAGCTTTCCTCCTGTCTCTCTATAATAATATTTTCTATTTCCTCCTCCTTGGGATATCCTCTCCTCACCCCTAGTCCTTTACTAGGTACCTAACCTTTATGGTTATATGTATTGTAGCACACATATCAAAGGCTTAAATGCTAACATCCACATATAAGAGAAAACAAGCAATGAGTTTGGGTTGCCTCATTCAGGACGATTGTTTCCAGATCTTTTCACTTACTTGTGCATTTCATAATTTCATTTTTCTTAATAGCCGAGTAATATTCCATCGTGTAAATGTACCACATTTTTGTCATCCATTTATTAGCTGATGGGCATCTAGGCTGTTTCCAGTTTCTGGCTATTATGAATTAAGTATCAGTGAGCACAGATGAACAAGATGTAAAGTCCTACGGGGACATACCCGAGGGTCATAAAGCCAGATCTTGAAGTAAATCTATTCCCAGCTTCTTGAGGAACAGCGGCTACACCAATTTCCATAGTGACTGTATAAACTGGCATTCCCACCAAGAATGAATAAGTGTTCCTTCCTCTCTCCTCGAATCCTTGCCAGTGCATGCTGTCATTTGTATTAGTGATCTTGGCCTGCCTGGCTGGTGTAAGACATTTCAGAGTAGTTTTAGCTTTCATTGCCCTGATGGCTAAGGATGTTGAAACCTCAGCCATTTGGGTTTCATCTTTTGAGAACTCTCTGTTTAGTTCGCTATCCCATTTTTTTTTTAATTGAGTTGTTTATTTTCTTGATGTTCAGTTGTTTGAGTCTTTATATATTTTGGGCACTAATCTTCATTCAGATACGTACTTCACACAGATCTTTCTGCATTCTGCAGGCTGCTGTTTTACATAAGCAATGGTGCCTGTATAACTTTTCTATAGAGAAGTATTTTTTAGAGTTCTCATTTATTATTTGCTGATCTCAGTGTTTGCGCTAGCCATTTCTTGTTCAGAAAGTCCTTTACTGTGCCAGTGAGTTCACGGCTATTCTTCACGTTCTCGTCTATCAGGTTCAGTGTACCTGGTCTTATGTTGAGGTCCTTAATCCATTTGGAATTGGAGTTTGTGCAGGGTGAATATGGATCTATCGGTATTCTTCTACATGTAGTCATAAAGTTTGACCAGGAAAATTTATTAAAGATGTTACCTTTTCTCCAGTGTCTAATTTTGGCTTCTTGGTCAAAACTCAGCTCTCTGTGGGTATGTAGAATCATATCCAGGTCTTTGACTCTATTGCATTGATCAATGTATCTGTGTTTATACCACTATTATGCTGTTTTTATTACTATATCTCTGTAATACAGATTGAAACCTGGGATGTTGATACCTTTAGCAGTTCTTTTATTTAGGTTTTGTTTTGTTTGTTTATTTTGCTATCCTGGGTGTTTTCTGTTTCTATACAAAGTTTAATGTTTTTTTTCAATTTCTATGAAAAATTGTGCTGAAATTTTGAAAGCAATTGTATTGAATCAGTAGGTTGCTTTTGGTAGGGTAGCCATTTTCACAAGATTAATTCTACCAATCCTTGACATGGGAGATCATTACATCTTCTGATATCTTATTCTCTCTTCAATAATTTAAAGTTTTTATTATATTGGTTTTTCACTCGATTGGTTAGAGTTGTTTCAGGTTTTTATATTTATCTATTAAGCCTATTGTGAAAGCTCCTGCTGCTCCTATTTTTTCTGTCTGTTATTTATATATAGAAAGGCGACAGATTCTCATGTGTTAAGTTTGTATCCTGCTGCTTTGCTGAAAATGCTCATCCACCGCAGATGTTTCCCAGTGCTCATCCACTGCAGATGTTTCCTAGTGTTCATCCACTGCAGATGTTTCCTAGTGTTCATCCACTGCAGATGTTTCCTAGTGTCCATCCACTGCAGATGTTTCATAGTGTCCATCCACTGCAGATGTTTCCTAGTGTCCATCACTGCAGATGTTTCCTAGTGTCCATCCACTGCAGATGTTTCCTAGTGTCCATCACCGCAGATGTTCCTAGTGTCCATCACCGCAGATGTTTCCTAGTGTTCATCCACTGCAGATGTTTCCTAGTGTCCATCACCGCAGATGTTTCCTAGTGTCCATCCACTGCAGATGTTTCCTAGTGTCCATCCACTGCAGATGTTTCCTAGTGTCCATCCACTGCAGATGTTTCCTAGTGTTCATCACCGCAGATGTTTCCTAGTGTCCATCACCGCAGATGTTTCCTAGTGTCCATCCACTGCAGATGTTTCCTAGTGTCCATCACCGCAGATGTTTCCTAGTGTCCATCCACTGCAGATGTTTCCTAGTGTCCATCACCGCAGATGTTTCCTAGTGTCCATCCACTGCAGATGTTTCCTAGTGTCCATCACCGCAGATGTTTCCTAGTGTCCATCCACTGCAGATGTTTCCTAGTGTCCATCCACTGCAGATGTTTCCTAGTGTCCATCCACCGCAGATGTTTCCTAGTGTCCATCCACCGCAGATGTTTCCTAGTGTCCGTCCACCGCAGATGTTTCCTAGTGTCCATCCACCGCAGATGTTTCCTAGTGTCCATCCACTGCAGATGTTTCCTAGTGTCCATCCACTGCAGATGTTTCCTAGTGTCCATCCACTGCAGATGTTTCCTAGTGTCCATCCACTGCAGATGTTTCCTAGTGTCCATCCACTGCAGATGTTTCCTAGTGTCCATCCACTGCAGATGTTTCCTAGTGTCCATCCACTGCAGATGTTTCCTAGTGTTCATCCACTGCAGATGTTTCCTAGTGCTCATCCACTGCAGATGATGTTTCCTAGTGTTCATCCACTGCAGATGTTTCCCAGGCTCTTAGAGCATTAAATGATGATTTTTTTTTCTAGTTTTGTTTTGTTTTTCTTTAAGGGAAGGTCTCCTTGGGTTGCCCAACTTGGCATTTGACTGCCACGGTCCTTGCATAGGCCTCCCACCACTGGACCAACTTGGAATTTTGTATTGGATCTAGCACATTTGGGCATTGTAAAGCCAAATTCTGGGTCCTGTTAAAATCCTCTCGTAAATGTTGATGTTTGTGTGAACTGTTAACTGGCTTAGGTACAGATTTCAGTGTCTCATCCACCATGGGTGTGGTTCCTCCCCGGGAGGTCAGGCTCCGAGCCCTGGAAGTTAACACTTTCCATTCCGTGTGTTCCCGTGTGGCATTTACTCTGGGACTTGACAGTTGGGTCTGTCCCCTTGGATCTATTCCATGTTGTGCAGGCCGAAATTGAGCTTGGGAATTATGTAGGGACCTTTACAGAGTAAGAAGGAGCTTTTTTCAGTATCCTCTCTGGCACTTCCTGGCATCCTCCAGCTTCCAGGATCCTCCCATACCTGGTTCTTCTGGACAGGAGTCTGGGGGCCTCTAACAGCTGTAATCCCTGCGATCCAGTGCTGCTTTGTGTGACTAGGGCCAGTTTAGAGTAAAGCAGTAAAACAGAAGAAAAAGCAGCAGTGGGTTTTCTTGAACTGTTTGAAAGGTGACACCCTCCCTCCTACTTCTCTCTGGCCCAGGGCAAGCTTGCTTCGGTTGCTGTTGCTACTTCCTGTCAATGCTGCTGCTGAGGCATGGGAGCCCTGGCAGCATCACCGCTGGGAGGCTGGAAAGGGCATCCAGAAAGCCAGCAGTTTCAGTTACTGTTTCCGGTACAGAGGCTACTTTTCTTGGCCTGTTGGTTTGCAAAGGTGATTTCTGGAGTTTTCCTGATAGTCCTGAACACACACTTCTAGAACCTGACCTGCCTTTGCCTTAAGTCGAGGAGGCAAAGAAGACAAATGCATTCGGGATGCTCGACTAGGTTGTCGTTTCTTTGGCTTCTGCGCCTGCACCTGTTCACCTTTCAGGCTCCTTCAGGGTTTGCCTTTTGCCCTTTGTTCAAAGCATTATTTGTAATCAGTGGGGGAAGATAAACTGTAGCTGGCTAGCTTCGGCTTGGCTGGCACAGGACAGTCCACCTGTACTAACACTCCTGTGAAAAGAAAAAAAAAAGGAGTTTGGGAATGGCGGGTACCCCCAAGAGTGCATGTGATTTTGCTAAACTTGATAAAAGTCTAAGAAAATAAATCTAATCTTGAATTAGTCTCCTACTGAGGAGAAAATGTTGAAGGTTCCAAATAGGGTCCATGATGGAGGGAGGCTGGAGCAGAGAAAATTCTGGAAGGTGATCCAGCCCCTGCTGTGTTGCTGAGGCAGGTGTGGTTGGGGAGAACGCAGATGTGGTTCCAGATACTAACAAGTTACCCCAAAGCA